AGCAGTTTCATTATCGATAATGTGACTAGTCTCAAAATATTGCTGTAAATATTTTTAATATTATTGAAAATGAATAAGGAGCCTGCCAGAAGACAATTTTTTAGGACTGAAGGAAAAGTAGATATGACCCAATGCTGGGAAACTGTAATAAAAATTTTAAACCACTAATGGGACAATGAACCTAGAGGAGAGCAGACTTTGACGTCAGCACTGGTCCTCATTTTTTTGATGATGGATCTTCTATCATTCAACTTTTTGTTTGATGAATTGTCTAATAGGTCAGTCACGCTGATCACAGAATCTTGGTTTGATATTCGATTCTTGTAGATTAGCTAAAAATAATAAGATCTGTCCAAACCGCAACTTTCTGCGTTCAATATTAACAGAGATATCGTCCTTTGAAAAGTAGGGTTTTTAACATCATCCATCCGGGTAGTGACACTCTTGGTTTCTTTCACCTTGCTTTCATCTAAGTTTCACATTGAGTACCCAGTGCAAAAGTGCATCTCACTGACTCAGTGTGAAGGCAAGGTGGAAGGGACCAAGGGTGTCACTACCGCGGTGGATGATGTAAAAAACCTGACTTTTCAAAGCGCGATATCTCCGTTAATATTGAACATAGAAAGTTGCTGTTTCGACAGATCTTTTTGTTTTTAGCTAATCTACGAGAATCAAGCATTGAAACACGATTCTGTGACCAGTGCAACTGACCCATTGAACATTTGCTTTCTGGGTATGAACATTAAGTCTATATGAACCATTTTCTTAATGCTGGACAGGATAATGATACTATAAGGACAAACCTGAAAAATAAAATCTGTAACATATTGAGCATAATAAAAACGGATAAAGAAGTCTTAGAGGTAACCAAACGAAAAACAGCATTACCACACTCGAGGAACTAGCATGGATGGATACGTTTCATTTTCTCCAGGTACAAGTTTCATTTTGGTGACCGACACACGGCGAATGAACACACCAATGCAGTCTTCTCTAAATAAGACCTCAGGGTCATTGCATCGAGCAAGTCTACCCCCATAAAGCTGGACTCCGTAACTTGCAAAAACGAACATCAGGACAATAAGGAGAATTGATACCTATAAGAGAGAAAAGCAAATTATCAACGGATGCGTGGTACATAAACTTCATCATCTTCAGAAATGCAATTTTAATTATCTACATTGCCTATTTACTATCTTTCCACTTTCAAAATTATAAGACTGTAAAAAAATGTTCAAATTTTATTGAGTACTTATTTAGGTGCTTTTTTTTATTAGCACAAGATAATAATGTTCAATGCATTTTTTTTATGTTTCTTCAAAAAAGACAGTGCCAAGTCACGAAAAGGTTTATATTGGGTGCCTGACTGAGATGAAATAATGCTATACATTAATTTTTGGAACCATCGTTTGGCACATTTTCTTCTCTTTCTTGCAAAAATTATAGAGTGCTGTAAGAGCAGATCTGAATTTGAACTAAAAACTTCTGCTTTAAAAGAGATACTGGAATATGAAATCTGCATATCTCATCTTTAATTCAATTTTTGGAGGCTCGTTTTCTTTTCTATATAAAAATGCACCCTTCTTAGACTAGTGCGATGTAGAATTTTATTGTGAGTTACCAGTGCTATTTCCTTGAAACCACGACACAACTCATCGACGACTTTTCGCATGTGAGGTACGAGAGTGAAAATTCTCAATGGACGGACACAACGTAAAATCATGAGAAGTTGCCGGCCAGAGCCTGGTGGGACATTTCGAGGCAGCCAGCTTAAAAATACAAGACTTGTCTGAAAAATGACAAATTTTAAGTGAGTAATACAGGCGAAAAAAAGAAAAATCTGCAGCGGTTATAAAAAAAAACTGCAAGATGAAAGGCGTTGGGTACAAAGAGGGCACTACTTGAATGCAATGAAACATTGAAAAAGTGTATATATTTGATTTATATTTTCCTTTCTTAAATATTAAAAATATGTTACATTCTATCACAGGCTGCTTGAAGATATTCAAACTGATTTTTTCCCATATTCAGGAGCTATTATTAGCTTTATCCTTGCGTACATGCCGAATGGGATTAAAAATATTCACACCAATTTTAAGTGCCATTTTCTGTAAGGCTTTTAAAGCTCTTGCGTACTGATGGTGAGATCAAGAAAACACATATGTATGTGTCTCAGTTTGCAGTGTTGCAAATGCTCTGCTACATTTAATTCCAATGCAGAAGACCTGTTTTAAATGCAAGAAATTTTGAATGATTATATTCTGGTGTCAAATTTTCATCCATTTATACAAAAATATTAGTTTTTTCCTTTTGTTCCCTCTTGACACATAAATTGATAAGATCTATTAAAAAAGTGAACATTTTAAATCACATCAATCCAGATGTATGATTAATGCTGAAGTTTAGCACAGTACCTACAAAAAATATACAAGATGATATAAAGCCACATTGAATTTAGGATAAATCATTTGATCAATCAAAGAATAATTAGAGATTACTTACAACATAAATGAATAAATCAAGTATCGATGCAACATCTTTCATGTATGCTTTGGGGGTGAAAAATACTCCATCTGCAAGAATCTTGAGCGCTAACTCCAGACTCATGAAAATCACAAAAACATACTCAGCAACCTGAAGAGCAGGCGTTTCCATGACTCGGTAAAACGGTGTTTCAAACATCATTGAAATGCATGAAAGTGTCGTGACACAGATCATCACCCAATCGAGATAAGACACTAGGCTTAGAAAGTTACTGAAAGGAAAATTGTTGGATTATAAACCAATGATAGGAATGTTACTATGATTACAAAGGTAAAGTTACAAAACCTATTGTTGAATATTAGCGATATAATACCGATTAAAGTGAGCATCGTATTTCGAAGCAAAATTTGAAATAGAAAATACATTGTCCTCAAATGTTATTGAATTATTATCATACAGAAAAATAAAGAACCCCGCACAGAGCATGGGCTCAGCAGCTCTCAATGAAAGTCAATGAAACTTTAATAGATTGATATAAAGTTCATAATTAAAGGAAAGCCAAAAAATTAGCTCACTTTTGCGAGTAGAAGCCCAGATATTCGCAATTGAATCCGGACTATTTCCTATCATGCCGCAGCGTGGCGGAAGAATTCCGAGTCCCCTCTCCTCTCGTTGTTCGGCGTTCTCGATCAGACCTCACGTCACTCACGTGAAGATAGGTGCTTATGCGCTCGGCCAGTGCGAATGCCGTATTCCCTCCCTCTCCGCGCATCTGTCAATTCTGTTTCAGCAACTACATTTCAGACTAAACCGGCCGGCGGCGCCGGAACGGGAGAGATGCGAGAAGCAGGGAACTCCATTTCGCACAGCCCAAAAGGAGCGTCCTAATGAAAGGAGTGAGTGTAAACAATGTGACATCCTAGTTACCTGGTGGGGAGAGGGGGTTTCCTGGCCGAAGTGCTCAAGTAAAGAAAGGCGACACGGAGAATTTACCTCCGCCGCACAGAAAATAGTCCGGGTTCAATCGCGAATATCTCAGCTTCTACTCGCAAAAGTGAGCTAATTTTTTGGCTCCCCCTTAATCATGAACTTTATATCAATCTATTAAAGTTTCATCGACTTTCATCGAGAGCCGCTGACCCCATGTTCTGTGCGGGGTTCTTTAAAACAATTTCAGACTATTTAAAAGTGAAAAAATATGAAATGGCCTTGGGACACGAACTCAGTCTGACATGAAGTACAAAATTCTGTAACATTTTAGTAAGATACTAAGTACTTAACAACCTAGTTTTTAACCTTATTTCACTCTGCACTCTATCCTCAGTACCATTTTAAAGAATCCATTTGAGTAAAGAAGAAATAAGGACACAATTTGAGCAGACCTAAACCCTCCTGTCAAATATATGGACTCTCTTTCAACTTTCCCTTGATTTGCAAGTGAATTAAAGGCTTTGGTGAATAAATACTTACTGTAAACTCTTATACTTGACTTTCCTCTCTTTGCCAGTCAAGGGATCTCGAAGACGAGCATCATATCTTGCGTAAACTATTGAGCGACATATTTTCCTGAACTTTCCCTCCCGCGGCACGAGAAATAAAGGCGTGTCAAATAAAGGGTGATTTTCTCTGAGATCTTCCTCACGCTGGTTCCTAAAAATGGTTATGAATACACATGAGTTAACAAAATTAAATTATCAAATATATTGGTAGGAACATCTGCAGTGACATCTTTAGTGATAGCAACAGTGCTTAGACACCACAACAATGATAGGTCAACATAACAATGATAATAACAGTGGTTTGGCATTTAACAAGGACGAAATTCCTGAGAGGTTAATGATTCTAATTAATCAAAAAATAAAGTTGGCTGAGTCTTGAAAGTATCAAACATCTCCTGGGCATGTTTCACTATGTTCTTGCAAAGCTTTCAAAGGTATATTCTTTGAAAAACTCATCCACTTTTTGGCAGTGTCGCCGGTCATAGCGAATGCGAATTCTGAGAGGACATACAGAATTATATGTTCATCAAGATATGCTAAAGTCGATGTTCAATATTTTGGACTTGCTCTTTTAAAGAAACTATCGATCCATTTGATGTGTCTTCATCTTTGGTGATCTTTTACCCTGTGCTTTCGCACTTGCGTTTATCGCAATGATGCTAGGGAATCATTTTTCTTTGTTAAAGGTCCAACGTAAGGACCAGGAGCACAAAAAAATGGTAGATTCAATAGGAACAGTCTGCAAACTTAGGTCTTTTTCTGGAACTTTTGTGAATAGAGAGCTTAAAATGTGATGCTAGACTCCACACAGCCAGTAACATGATCTAACACAAAGTGCTATGAAGTGACATGAAGTACTATGATTATGAGTGACAGGAATTAAATGTGCAAATTGAGAAAAAATGAAGGTACCTCCTCATTTCTGCTTGTTGTCTTTTGGCCTGTAGTAGTTTGATGTCCAAATCGTGAGGACGACTTCTTGCAGCACTTACTCTGTTCATTGCACCTATGTCTCCGTTTTCCATCATATGCTCGTACGTCTGTTTCAGCTTGATCGAGCCGCTCCGGACGCTTCTTCTTACCGACCTGCGGAAGAAACTCAAAAATGATGAAGTTAAAATATGCAAGTTCAAATACAAGTTACAATAGTAACAATATTTCCTTCCTTCTTGATTGATCAAATAGTGCAATATCTTCCTACAATATTATTTCTCAGCATGAAATTTTTAAAGATAAAATTAAACTTCACTAATAATGAAACTATACAAAATAGACTGTAGACTTCCAACATTTTTGGATACTGAGAAAGCTGACGAAAAACTAAAAAAATTAAATAGCTAGTGTGCAGTGGAGAATCTACTAAATTATTCACAATATCTTTTTCAAAAGTAGGTTTACTGAACTAAGAATTTTAAAAAAACCATTGAAATTCCAATTTAAATTGAAATTTTGAGGCAGTATTTACTCCAAGATGTCGGTAAGAATGCTTTTCCATGTGGTGGTGCCTATACCTCAATCTTGAGTAATTCCGCTTTGGGATCTGTTTCCCCATGGTATATAAATCATGACAATAAAAAAAAGAAACAACAAAAAAATCTGTACGTAAAAATAGGGCTAAAGAATTAATTCTTACTTCTTTTGATCCAAACGCAACTGCTTTGCACTACTAATGGTCCCTTGTGAGTGAAGAGTGCCTTTGCCAGGCATTGGTAAGACAGCTGAGTCCCCAAGCATCAATCGTTGATTGTTTGAATCACTGAACAAGTAAAAGAAAAAACTTATGGTCTAGAAAAAATGGGCACAATACCTCTTTGCCGTCAACATCTTGTTTAATTTGGTCCTTCTTTTGTATTCAAATCAAGGGAAAAAGAACGCACTTAAATCCTCCAGACAGAAAATGATGACTTTGATTAATAGAACAAAAGTAGAAAGAAGTACGGTCTACACCTCACACATACGATGTTATTTTAAATCCCTAAACTTCTGAGAGAAGAAGAAATTTTCAGTTGTACTGGGTAGACTGGCGCTCAATGAAGCTTGGCAAAATTTGGTTCAGCCCCAACTCAGTTATTTTGACAGAGAGTTCATATCCGTGAATAAAGGGAAAAGATCGAGCTCACTTTTGCATAATTTTGGGAAAAAAGATCAGGCTTACTTTATGATTGCTGTGATTGATGCTTTCCGAAGTTCAGAGGTGATGGTTCGAACTTTTTGCAAATTGCTCAGCAATTTTAATGGTCTTTGCTTTTGGTAAATTACACGGGTATTCAGGACTTCGTTCAGTCTTTTTATGCTTTCAGAGATGCTTTCATCATCTGCCATATCGTAGACAAATTGGCGCATGAAACTTTCACGTACCTGCAGAAAAGACACACAATTAGAATTTACTTCAGGCAAAAATTTAAAATTACTCAACCCTCTGAGGCATAACGCTACGAGTTTGTAACAACATAATTTTAGGGTTTTTAAAAATTGAATCTATTCTCTGCAGAATGATTTTGGAAATCTTCAATGGTTTTTTTTCCTTTTTTGAATAACTGATTCCCAAAAATTTTAAATTTTGAAAAAAAAATTGGTACTCTATGTCTCTTTCTTATGCAAGCTACAACATAGATTAGTGTCCCCCAGAGTCTAAGATCCAAAATTAATTCATGCCATAGAGGATTAATTGCCTTTCATGGAGAGTATAAACAAAAAAAATTTCAAAGGGCAAATTACGCCATCTAGGGGTACCCCCAATGCTACACTCACATCTTGAGTGGTACTTTGGGACTTAGTGCTCCTTTCGTCAAACCTGAGAGAGGAAAAAAATGGGAGAAATAGACTGGTGTGTTTAGATCTCAAGAACATGGCAGGGTTAGAGCAGTGGCGAGGGATTCTGCTATAGCCCTTCACCTTACACTGTTTTCATTGTAAGCCAGCTTTCTATTTTGGGTGTATTTATTGATTTAAAAATTCTACAAGTTTACTTACTTTTGGGAGAATGTAGTCAGAAGGTACTTTGTGAATGGTTGACATTTGTGGACTATCAGGGAATTTCTCAAAAACTCGGAGACGGAATGGTAATGTTTCTTTGATTTCTGCACTTTGCTCACGAAACTTAAGCTGCTTCAACTTTTTGATATCTTCATCTAATTCCAAATTATCTAATATCACAGCAACGAACAAACTTAACACAATCTAGAACAGGACAAACAAAATTACTGATGGATGAAACCTTTGAACAAGAGGTTAATGCTTTGTATTATACGATAAACATTCCATTTGGAAAAAACAAAAAAGAGGAGATTCACTAGACTGGTAGACAACTAATTGAGGGACTTGGAGGATAAGGCGCATAAGTTCAGCTTTTGCTATTTCGAGAAATGCAAGTTTGAAGTTTCAAAATTAAATGGATCCTTATGGCAAGAAAGTTCAAACTGACTTTGTGATGCTAGATGCTTGAAAATTGGATTTTGGGGGAAAATTTTTCATAGAATTTTCACTAAGTTTAGTTTAACTTGAAATCATTAATATATCAATTTTTTCAAAAACTGCACTTATGCGCCTTGTTCTCCAAGCCCCTCAATTGACAAGAAAGAACTAATTTAAACATCTGTAAAATTTATTAAAACTGAAAGAAAATAGTAGTGGACTGGACTTTCAAAAATATATTAGTAAATATATAAAAGTGAGCAGAGTATGGTATTTTAAGCATATTTTGGTGCACTTTTGTACTCTTCTGACAAATGAACAGGATTTTAATAAATAAAGTAACAGAATAGAACACTCGTAGATCGCCTGATGACATCCCATGATAGTAGCAAACTTTTGCAATTAATAATTGCTTAGAAGATAAGGACACCCGTTTAAGAGAAATTTAAGATATTCAACTTACTAAAGTTACAAACAGATGATACAAAATGAAGTAAATGGCAACCAACGGAGTAAGCGTTTCTCGAGTTCTAACCATAGTTTCATCCATGACTTCAACCCATGCTTCTTGTGTCAAAATTTGGAACATAGACATGAAAGCCTACAAAACAGAGAAATAAAGCTCAAAAAAGCGTAAACATGAGTCATATTGACTAGCATTAAAGCCAACCATATTGACTGGCATTGGCAACCATATTGGCTGGCCTCTTGTTTAATACTTATTTGTCTCCATTTTTTCAAGACTCAGAATATTATGTGATTCATATTACTGCAGAGGTAATCGATGCTGTAATCCTTGAATTAGAAAACAATTAACACGTATCTTCTTGAGCAGGTCACAGTGATCTATTTTTGTTAGTTGTGCCAAACAGATCATAATAATAGGTCTTTATTTCCTGAAGCAAATTTTCAACTTGTTACTGAGCCATAAAAACGCTACCTGCGGCGATCTTTCCTTGCAATTTTATTTCAATATTTTTGAACAATTGTAAAAGAATCCAAGACGAATTTTGGAGAAATTGTTAGATCGTTTGCTTGAGAAAAAAAATAAAACGCTAATGGAAACTTGCAATGTCACAAACTGAAAAACATATATCTTTTTTTTACTTTAGCCATTGATATAAAAGTAACATTTTTTTAAAAAAATAACCAAAAAAATACAAAACATACCTCAGGGAAGGTTTCAAATTTTGTGAAATCGCATAGGAAGCAAAACAGCTGCATTGAAATGGAAGATGAGATGATCAAGAGGCACATGGTGAATATGATTAAGCTTCCCAATTTCTTGCCCGGTCCAAAAATCTTGTACACAAAATCTTCAAGCATTGGGGATGCTTTAATCAATCTAACAATCCGAAGGACCTGTGAATAAATCTTTCATTAGAAATTCTATGAAAATTGACCATGAAAGGGAAATTTCATCTAAATAGGACCTTATCACAACTACTTTTGCTTGTGGGAAATTTATTATTCAATATTTTCCTTGATTGACCAAACGAATGAACTGAAGAAAAAACTTAATGCGNATCTCATTTAATAAATCATCAACCTCCTTGAAACTCAACAGTCTGTTAGACGGGACCGAGACGCATCTTTAGACACCAAAATTTCTGAAATCCGTCGCTCCGTTGCTTTGAAAAGTTTACTGAACCGCAACTAAAAACCCAAATAAGCCAAGTTCGTGTAACTATGGTGTCGTAGCCTCGACCGGACTGTGCTGTGTTGCCAATTGTTGGAGGATAGGTTACTTGCCCGGTGGTGGCTACCGCCACTCATGATTAAATCAACTGAACTTAAGATGTGTGACCCCAGCTTAGGCAGCTGGACCTTGAGAAAATGATTGACACAAAAGAAATAATGGCAAAATTAAAATGTTGTAACAATGCAGGGTATACAAACCTGAAAATAAGTGAAAACAGACAAGTACAGGCTTGGAATAATGTGAAGAGTTGTACCGATTGCTAGCATTAGTTCAAACTTGTGATAGGAGTGCTCAAAATAGCCACGGAAACCTAAGCACCATATCTTGAACAATGCCTCTAGGTTGAAGAAAATTGTAAAAACAACCTGAAATAAAAAGGAAAAATCATTCTGTGCTGAGAGGTCATGAGTTAATTACTGAAAAAGTACTACGGCAAAATCAATCACACATCATTAATAAAGTACTTCTGTCCGAAGTAAGAACACTTTAAAGTTGGGCTAAACTTAAAATTGAAAGCCGCGAAAAGATGCAATTGCTGTTGGGTAACTAAAATGCTATGGGATTTCACCTATGAGGCTGCCAATTATCCGCTGATTTTGGGCCAGAGACATTGGAAACATTGCATCATCCAGGCATCTGAAAATCGCCGCCCATTATGGTTGTTTTTATAAAATGAATATAAAAATAATTCATGGTTGATTGTCTCTGTAAGTAATCTCTGAAACATAGTACTGCAATCTTGAAAACATGAAGGATAAATGATGAACGGTTTTCTTGTAATAAAGCATTTTGCCAGAAAAAAATTGGAAAGTTGAGCACAAAGTTACAGTGTTCATATCTTGAACAACAGAGCAGTGTTTATACAAGAATAATATGAATGAAAAGCTTCTCTCATAAGCAGATTTCAAAATCTCCTGCATCTAAAAATGACTTCGCTTCCTGTGAGAAACGGTTGAAAGAATTACTCAAGAGGTTTGTTGAGTTTTTTGAAGATTCTAGCAATTTTAAAATATCTGAGTGGTTTTTGAAAATTTTGTAAAACAAGGAATTACCTCAAAATAGTAATACTTTTCGTAAAAGACATATCTTGGTCGCTGGTCATGCTTGAAATTCATTGTTGCCATTACTAAACCATTAGCAAGAATCACTGTCATCATAAGTGATCGAAACCAGGGAGAATTGAGAATCGCCTGACAGATAGGAGGGGCAAGCCCTGTGTGTTTGTTTTCATCTACGGTCACTAATCTCCAGCCTACATCATCTCCTGCTAGTATCTGAAAAGAATTGAAAATGAAGAAAATTAAAACCATGTAAATTAAATGCAGATTAGCAAACATTTTACTCAGACACAAACATCAAACATATTGATAGATAACCTTTTGCTGAAAGCCAACGATAAATTGAATTGAATGAGTTGAGAAAACGCAATCTCATTTTATGTGAAGGTAATTTTTTTAATCCAACTCATTAGGTGCCTACCATTTACAGTTTTGTATTTAAACAGGAAAGATGCACTTAGAGCTTCTAGTCACCTCTATGAGAGAAAGAAAAGGGTTTACTAGAAGAGTAAAAAAGAGATGGCTTACTCTAGAAATGCTGGATTCTACTGTAAGTAATAATAATGGAAACATAGTTACATGCTATCTTGACAAATCTAGCTAGAACTCTATGCGAGTAAACACATGTTTACCTCATTATATCCAGCCTTTACAATGAGCTACAGAGGTCTGAAATTGCAAATTACGCTGTGAACTACTAGGTATTGCAGGGCCAATTATGTCTCATAAACTTCAGATACTCATGTTTTTTTGTTTTTTGTTTTTTAAAAAAAAAAAAATTAGCCTCCTGACTCTTACAATTTGATTTCAGTGTGAACTTCAACCAACAGTCTCCCACACGATTTACGGTGGAATATCAAGTAGTTTTCAGATTTAAAAATGGGAAGCCAATTTTCCATTACGATTTGGCACGAATAGTTCCATAGATTAAAAGCTCAGATAATTTTCAGCTTTGTAGCTCTTTGCAATTACTCACCTGAGAGGCAGTTTTGTTTGTAATGGAGCTGCGAACTCCCCACATTTGCTGGAACTGGACTCTGATTTCGTTGAATGTTTCCGTAATGACAGCAATGAAAACGTTTTTGACCAACCACGAGAGGAAGAAAATCATTGTGCAGAAGTAGAAGACAGCTCGCCATGCAGGAAGACTGTCGTACGTGCGAAACATGATGAAAACCCAGCCTTCTTGTGACGCTGCTTGGTAGACGGTGAAAATACTTGTTGCTGCAGGGCAAGACCAATTTAGTTTAGCATGACCATTCAATGGAATTTTACAGTAAAGGAGTTTTTACAAACTTAAATCTCATCATATCTACCAAAGAAGACAGGACTGTATATCTATAGAGCGATTACAAGTCTTGAATTCTTTTACTTATTTCTCTGTTTTTCAGAGCTGAGCTGAGTTCCTTCATGAAAACCTACAATTTCCACTAAATTTTCTCCAGATTCTCTTCGAATAACTAGAGTTTTCTCCAGCAAAAATATGCACCGATTTTTTCTTTTTTTTAAAGAATAATTCAGTGGATTCAATATCTATTATAGCTTCTCAATCCAAAAAATAAATAAATCTTACTATATTGAAAAATATAAACAGTTTTTTGTGTGCACATTTAAGCCGATTTTCTTTCTCATTGGTCCGATTATTTATCATTCAGAAAAGTCGTTGAAAATCCCTTAGAAATTTAAATGAAATATTTGATATAACGGTCTTTGGTATAGACTTTCGACCAATCACTCGTTTGTGTCGATTTGGTTCCTTTAAGATTTTTTTTTAAGAATAATCCAATGGATTATAACTTCTTGATCCAAAAAATAAATAAATAGATAAACAAATAAAACACTCACCAAATTCATCAAAACCAATGAAACCAATGATGTGCCGTGACAGTTCAAGCTTCATACATTTCATTCCAAGTGGGCACTGATAACCAGAATCTGGATCCATGGAGCAAAATGTATCTGGAATGGCAAGACTGTTGAGTGTGACGTGTCTGGAATTGGAAGAGCGATTGAAAATTAGCTTCTTAACCGGCAAGAAAAAAATCAAAGAAGTTCAGAAGAAACCAAAAACACCTTCCAGCATTGTGACATTCCACCCTGAGCCAAATTATACAGACTCTCACACACACATGCCGTGCGGAGTTAGAGAGTTGTATCAGAGAAATTGCAATGGAGGATGTTGGATGAGAGCTTAATTTTCTTTATAACCAGACTATGTATATCTTTGAATTGAATCTCTCAGTTCAAAACCGACCCATTTCGGAAAAAAAAAATTTCAGGAACAATGAAAACTGCACATTAACCAGGAGAGGAGTGATTCTATGAAAAAAAATGAACATCGTAAAAAACCCTAGTTGGGTCATTTTCGAACTGAGGGATTCAATTTATATAATATGTTTTACAATTCTTCAGAAAAATTTTCAGCAGATACAATACATGTAATGTGCAAATTGTAAGTACATCTCCTAAATCAACTCTTGAACCAAATTTGAATTTTTTGTACGTGTCTCTTTAAACGTTGTGTTTCTTAAAAACCAAAGCCTGTATGAATTAAACTGAGCATTAAACAAATATTGTTGCATTGAGTTTTTTAATGGGTCAATTTTTTTTCTGACAAATGATTAGTACATTGAATTGAAGGAGAGAGGAAAGTTTTTAAAAACCTCAAGTTAGGACACAGATAATTTACAAGATGTTTCAATTGCAAAGGCAACTTAACTGAAGTTTTGGTATTACATTTGAGGTAAATCGTTAATCAAGTCTGAAATACTACTGTCTAAGTTTTCAGGGTAATTTGTAAACAGCTACACAGCAGATGATGAAAGATGGGATGTATCTGACTTACCGCGGATGGGTATCATTCAGCACACAATGATTCTTTAGCTCGCCAAAAAATTGAACACCAAGTAAGCCATACAGAGACATAAAAAATAGGAAGAACAACGTGACATTGTAAATCTGCTGACTCGAGCGCCTAAAAAGCCCAAGACAAAACATGTCAAGTAATGATGTCATGTTGTATTGTTTCATAGCATGCAGAACATAAATTCTAAGTTCCAAGAATTTCTTGGAGTACAAAATATTGTTCGGTTGTGACTATTCCTGTTTTTTAGCCATTTACCTAATCCATTAAATTATCACAAGTTAATACAATCTCATACTGATTTAACATGATTTTAATCAAATAATCCTCAATTTATTTGATTGAGGGAAAAACAGGAGAATAAAACTTGAAATTAGTGTGAATCCAGTTATGAGCCGGAGCTAGATTGAAAATTAAGCAAGTTTTCTCCAAAAAAAAAAAAAAAAATGGAATTTTTGAGGTAGAGCTCAGGGTCAATAGTTTGGTAAATTTTTTTGAAATTTCCTGACTTTATATTAAAAAAAAAAATCCTCACAACATTAGCAAAACATTTCTGATTACTCTGTAACATTGCTGATGAAAGCTCTGGCTACTCGTACCAAAATTATGAGACTTTTCAGAGAATAAGAAAAATTCCATGATTAAAAATACCAAACATTGGCATGAGGCAAATCTTGTTAAGATGCTTTTAGGCCAAGTATGCCTCGACTCTTCTCAAAATATGGCATGTTTTCCAGTTTGAACTGCCCCTGCAACCTTGGATTAATTCAAAATTTGAGGTACAAAGACTCAACAACAATCTTAAACAGCACCCAAACGAAAATTTGAGGGAAATTTTTCAAATTTTTTCTTCACAAAGACACAAATTTCACATTGTAGACACATGCAACATGATACATGTAGTTACAATGCTTACTTGAAAATTTGATTAATTCGCGATTTTGGCATGGAGAATTTGAGGAAGACACGGATGAAACGAATCATGATGAGAGGTCTGGGCGCTCGAAGAATCGACAGGTAACTGAACAAAGGGACAACACCAATCATCTCAAACATTTGAAGGATGACAGAGGCCCATAAAAAAAACACCATGCTCGAATCAAACTGGCACCAGTGGTCTTTCAAATACGGAACCTCTCCCTATCAACAAAAAAAAACAAAAAAACAGAGGATTAACTGAAGTTGACAATATTTTACAAATGTGTTTTAAGACAAAAAAGAACTGAGATTATGCTAGTTACATTAGGGCCATACTTATGGCCATTTCTCAAACAGATCGTTTCCTTAGGAAGTTTCATCTGGTTTACATTGTGAATGAGGGAGGTTAAAGGGAGCCCTCAAAATGGCATCATAAAAGAGATGATTTTTGCCAATCTCAAGAGAATATCAGCGGTGTAACTTTGGAAATGGGCCTTTGTAAGGGATTACAATGATTTACCACCGCAAAAAGTACAAAATATGGAAGAAAAATTTCTATGACTTTAAAATGTTTGGGGAAACCATTTCACAGTTTCACACGTTCAAAAGCATTTACTTTGAAACACTATACACCCTTCTTCAAACGTCATTATCAATTCAGCATTGATTCTGCACCACAGAGAGTATCTTGGTGATACTCGTGTGGTGATACTATCACCATACGCAAACTAGGCTAGGACAGAGATGCCTATGCCTTAAAATTACTTAGCTGCTGCCATTTTTAGAATCATTATGTTCTTTTGGGGGGGGGGGCGGCGGCAATATGCCAAAAACCTACTTAAAATGAAATAATAGTGGTCAAAAGTCAATCTAAATTCTCTGATAAATTTTTCTTTCTAAATCAGTATCGTCAAATTCAGAGGAGATTAATCTGATTATCATCAAACCTGCAAGATTCCACGGATGTGCATTTTGGCGATCATTTCGGCAGTGAAGAGAAAAGTGATGATTAGATCACACACAAACGTTACATACTGCAGAGGTGGATACCGCTCGAAAGTTTTGGGTGTGTTGAGACTCACAGAAACCAGACTGAAAAGGGCGCAGGTTCTCATGATTCTTCGAACCCACATCTAGAACACATAGTCATAAAAATAATTTAGGTTTCAAGAAAAAATCATTTCAGTTATGTGTAAGAGAATAATTTAAACAGAAATTACATCTTCTTACAAAATTCAAAATTGTAAATGCTATAATTTACAAATAATTCCAGACAGAGGAGCATGAGAATACTATTAAGGGATTGTAGAGCCTCACTGAGCGCTGCAAAAACCAGGAATGAAGAATGAGTCACCACCTACTAAGTACCCAAATAACATATAGCATAGCATCTGTAGCATAGATTAAAAGCAAGTGCAATTACTTGGACAAATTAATAGACCTTCTGCTTGGGAGTGTTGTTTATGTTGCCTATCTACTAATTGAAGGGGCTCCTCTTATTGAAATTTACTGCAAAGACATTAAGGTAGGTTGCAGGACTTGTAGGTTTTTTTTATTTTATTTTATTTTATTTTTTTTTTAATCGCACGTTGTCTGTCTTTCTAATACATGGAACTTGTTACACTAATCATTTAAAATTGACATTCATTGCTGAGATGATGTGAAGAGATAGCAATTTCATAAAGAAAAAATGTGAGTCTTTTTTCCATAAAATTTAACATTATTTCAATATTTTCATTTGCATTGTGCTACTTGGTGGCTCAGAATTGATGGCATGAACAGAATTTTTTCAAGGCAGAGGGGGTTCGAATTAGGTCATTGGGACCCCTCCACCCAATGGTCAAGCCACTAGGGTAAACAGCTACCTCTAAGAAGAATATGGTGAGGCAAAGAAAATGTGACAATCTACATGAAAAAATCCTTGAGGACTTTTAAAATATTTAGCATTGGGAATAGAGAGGGTGGCACACAGAGTAACAAGACATTTGGTGCCAGTTAAATTTCGATATGATGTTCCTCACAGCTTTTGGAGCTCAATACGATTTTGAAATCGAACTGTCTCATGGCCAATTATGAGAAAAACTGGGCTGAAAAGTGAATTTACTGGCATTTTCTAGTGGAAATGTTGCAACATCTGACTGATGATCAAGAAGAAATTGAGTTTCAAGGCAGGCCATGCAGATCAGACGAATGAATAGAATTAAATTCTTTCAAACGACAACTGCATTATAACAACAACTCGATGGCATGGCATGCTTTGCGATATATCGATTGATCTGCTATTTAGGTAAATCTAGGGAAAAGGATCAACCAACCAACAGGTGAGTAGGGTGTTTTCAATGAACACCTTAATAATTGATTCTTTGCCTGATAATGTATCATTCATGCCTCGCTACTGCAACAACTCAAATCTCCATTAGAAAACATGTGTATGTAAGAAGGTTGGAAAATTCCTTTTTCAGCCCCAATTTCCTCAATATTGATAAATAAAAAGTTAGATTTTGAAAGCTCGTTGTGCTAAGGCGCCTGCAAAGCACATCAGATCAGAAAATACTGAAACTCACCTGGCGCCAGATTTCTTACTATTCCATGCGCAGTCCTTAGAAGAGACGTTATATCTTCTCTTTCTTTCCATTATTCATTTTTTCCTCAGCCCTTCGGGTAGAGTTTGTCCGATGGCTAATGGTTATCTTGATTCTAGAAGTTACTTTCAGTGCTAGACTAATGACAACAGATTTTCTAGAAGAATCTAAACCTGTGCAAACTTAAGTATCTGGCATCGAATACACTCTCGATAGAGAGGAACTAACCTTGTTCACCCATTCGATATCTGCATTTTCATTTAGCGACTCCTCCTGACCATAGTCGGCTAAAACTTGTTCACCTTTGAGGCTCTGCTTCCTGCCCAGCATCATTTTTAGGCCCTCAGATTGGTGCGGTGCAGATCCTGACAATATAAAAAATTGATTAGTTTAAAAAATGGAAGCCTTCAGAATAGGAATCAAAAATACATCTCCGAGGAAAAGTTCTAGATGACGGGTAAAACCAAATAGACTCCTTGAGCTAGGCGATGCAATGAAACTCGGGAGGAGTCGGATTCTGAAGTTCTGCCCTTTACAGAATTGAAGACATTTCACGCACGATTCATAGTCAATTTTCTGGTGAAAATTCACTTCAGCCTTAAAATAGGAGGGTAAGTAAAAATAGTTTAATGAAGAAATCCTACTTCTAATGTTTTTGAGGATCAAAACCAGTAAGTTACAGCTTCTATATCTGAGGCGGCTTAAGTATTTTTTGGTCAACTTGGTTTTTCTCTGATCTAGAGCAAACCAAATTCTGTGAAAATTACTTGGTACTTGAAACAGAAATAGGCTATATTCTGTTTCATTCTTTCTGGACAGGGTTGATGTATGACTTATTTAAAGTACTGCATATTAAGTCCTCCATAAGCTATTTTCTAGAGTAGTTTGCAGGAAGAGATACGACGCTACAAATCACTCAACAGTGGCCGACCCCTTTCCTTTAGCCGACCAATGTGAGGGAAGAGATGAACTAGGCTAAGGGTGTATACAGGCTTAAAGAATCTCAGATCAATGAGAAATAATTTTTTAGGAATGACAGGGCATGCTGTAAGGTTTATGAATTAGAAGGTATCTAATTCTAGTGTGGGAAACGAAAGGTCCAGGGGAAGTGGCTCTTGAGATATCGATGATGACTTTTAAATAATGAACGTAAAAAAGAATTCTTACCTGAAAAGTATTAATAAAAATATTTACTGTCACATTGTGAATGCGAGACGCAATGATTTTTCCCGAAACAAGAAATAAAAACGGTAAAAATCAATAATGAATAAGAAAAAAAATTCAAATTCGATTTGTTTACATTTTATTGATTATTAAATCATGAACAGAACAACTGATAACATACATAAACCAACAGCCAATCAAATCAAGCGAAGGAGATGACGTAAGTACTAGGTGGATACACCATCGCCATGTTGATGACGTACAGGTATTCAACTTTTCTGGCGCGCGAAAATATGAAAACAAGTCGCTCTTCACGAAACCATTTCTGAACATCTTTGTGAACGACGTAAAAAAATGGAATAATACAACTTTAATGAGAATAATCCGGAATAGTAAACTGTTGTCACTTTTCGGTTGCTAATTTTCTTGCTAGAAGAGCTTCTTCTACATTAGCAATATCAAAATTAGTTTTCACTTCCCCAAGATATAGCTGAAATGACGCTCCAAGATTTAGGCGCAAAAGTGAAAACTAATTTTGATATTGCTAATGTAGAAGAAGCTCTTCTAGCAAGAAAATTAGCAACCGAAAAGTGACAACAGTTTACTATTCCGGATTATTCTCATTAAAGTTGTATTATTCCATTTTTTTACGTCGTTCACAAAGATGTTCAGAAATGGTTTCGTGAAGAGCGACTTGTTTTCATATTTTCGCGCGCCAGAAAAGTTGAATACCTGTACGTCATCAACATGGCGATGGTGTATCCACCTAGTACTTACGTCATCTCCTTCGCTTGATTTGATTGGCTGTTGGTTTATGTATGTTATCAGTTGTTCTGTTCATGATTTAATAATCAATAAAATGTAAACAAATCGAATTTGAATTTTTTTTCTTATTCATTATTGATTTTTACCGTTTTTATTTCTTGTTTCGGGAAAAATCATTGCGTCTCGCATTCACAATGTGACAGTAAATATTTTTATTAATACTTTTCAGGTAAGAATTCTTTTTTACGTTCATTATTTAAAAGTCATCATCGATATCTCAAGAGCCACTTCCCCTGGACCTTTCATTTCCCACACTAGAATTAGATACCTTCTAATTCATAAACCTTACAGCATGCCCTGTCATTCCTAAAAAATTATTTCTCATTGATCTGAGATTCTTTAAGCCTGTATACACCCTTAGCCTAGTTCATCTCTTCCCTCACATTGGTCGGCTAAAGGAAAGGGGTCGGCCACTGTTGAGTGATTTGTAGCGTCGTATCTCTTCCTGCAAACTACTCTAGAAAATAGCTTATGGAGGACTTAATATGCAGTACTTTAAATAAGTCATACATCAACCCTGTCCAGAAAGAATGAAACAGAATATAGCCTATTTCTGTTTCAAGTACCAAGTAATTTTCACAGAATTTGGTTTGCTCTAGATCAGAGAAAAACCAAGTTGACCAAAAAATACTTAAGCCGCCTCAGATATAGAAGCTGTAACTTACTGGTTTTGATCCTCAAAAACATTAGAAGTAGGATTTCTTCATTAAACTATTTTTACTTACCCTCCTATTTTAAGGCTGAAGTGAATTTTCACCAGAAAATTGACTATGAATCGTGCGTGAAATGTCTTCAATTCTGTAAAGGGCAGAACTTCAGAATCCGACTCCTCCCGAGTTTCATTGCATCGCCTAGCTCAAGGAGTCTATTTGGTTTTACCCGTCATCTAGAACTTTTCCTCGGAGATGTATTTTTGATTCCTATTCTGAAGGCTTCCATTTTTTAAACTAATCAATTTTTTATATTGTCAGGATCTGCACCGCACCAATCTGAGGGCCTAAAAATGATGCTGGGCAGGAAGCAGAGCCTCAAAGGTGAACAAGTTTTAGCCGACTATGGTCAGGAGGAGTCGCTAAATGAAAATGCAGATATCGAATGGGTGAACAAGGTTAGTTCCTCTCTATCGAGAGTGTATTCGATGCCAGATACTTAAGTTTGCACAGGTTTAGATTCTTCTAGAAAATCTGTTGTCATTAGTCTAGCACTGAAAGTAACTTCTAGAATCAAGATAACCATTAGCCATCGGACAAACTCTACCCGAAGGGCTGAGGAAAAAATGAATAATGGAAAGAAAGAGAAGATATAACGTCTCTTCTAAGGACTGCGCATGGAATAGTAAGAAATCTGGCGCCAGGTGAGTTTCAGTATTTTCTGATCTGATGTGCTTTGCAGGCGCCTTAGCACAACGAGCTTTCAAAATCTAACTTTTTATTTATCAATATTGAGGAAATTGGGGCTGAAAAAGGAATTTTCCAACCTTCTTACATACACATGTTTTCTAATGGAGATTTGAGTTGTTGCAGTAGCGAGGCATGAATGATACATTATCAGGCAAAGAATCAATTATTAAGGTGTTCATTGAAAACACCCTACTCACCTGTTGGTTGGTTGATCCTTTTCCCTAGATTTACCTAAATAGCAGATCAATCGATATATCGCAAAGCATGCCATGCCATCGAGTTGTTGTTATAATGCAGTTGTCGTTTGAAAGAATTTAATTCTATTCATTCGTCTGATCTGCATGGCCTGCCTTGAAACTCAATTTCTTCTTGATCATCAGTCAGATGTTGCAACATTTCCACTAGAAAATGCCAGTAAATTCACTTTTCAGCCCAGTTTTTCTCATAATTGGCCATGAGACAGTTCGATTTCAAAATCGTATTGAGCTCCAAAAGCTGTGAGGAACATCATATCGAAATTTAACTGGCACCAAATGTCTTGTTACTCTGTGTGCCACCCTCTCTATTCCCAATGCTAAATATTTTAAAAGTCCTCAAGGATTTTTTCATGTAGATTGTCACATTTTCTTTGCCTCACCATATTCTTCTTAGAGGTAGCTGTTTACCCTAGTGGCTTGACCATTGGGTGGAGGGGTCCCAATGACCTAATTCGAACCCCCTCTGCCTTGAAAAAATTCTGTTCATGCCATCAATTCTGAGCCACCAAGTAGCACAATGCAAATGAAAATATTGAAATGGGCGCTAGTAAATTCCGCCGAAAATGGGTAAATTCCGCCGATTTTCCATCCACCGAAAATGTAAATTCCGCCGATAGGTGCCACCGAGCAAGTGTAAATTCCGCCGATGGAGGAAAAGGAAAATGTTTTTGGAACGGCACTCATATTCGGCAAGAGCATCAAGTTAAGATGTTATCTGTTTGAAGGTAGATCTGCGCTCGAAGCCGAGGAGTTGCACTTTGATGATATCAGTAAAACTGATAGCGGATGGTTTGGGACGGAACGCGGAATGTACATACATGAACTCTGACTTCAGTAGCCGAAAAGATGGAGCCGATCGAGAGTGTCCGTTATGACAAGTGAGAAGGGGAAATTTATTATTGTGATTTATGAAATTTATTTCTTATTATATATTATTTAACGATGAAAAATCCGAAATCGGTCTTTGGCTCCATCATTTTTTCGGCCTGATNCTTGGGGGGGGGTTAGAAATATTTAGAGAAAAGAAAGAAAATTACTTAAATAATTGCTGCTAATTATAATTCAAACTTAAAATTTACAGAGGGAGGGGGGAGCCCCTCTGCCCTCCCCCAATTGGCGTCGCTTCGTGCAACTTTTATTTTTAGAGTTTTGAAAAAAAAAGAAAAAAAATATGAATGAGTAAGTAATAGCATTAGACCTTTAAAGAGTCGAGAAAAAATAAGTTAACATTTTCTTCAAAAGTAGGAAAAAGTGAAAGAAGTGATAAGAAAAGAAGGTATGAAAAAAAAAATCGGATTTAGAAAAAAAAAATTACAAACGAGAAAAGGCGACAAAATCACTCATTTCTTGAGAGTATAGTAATTTCTAAGTTTGTCGTCTCTTAGTGATACAAGAGACAGCACCTTTAATTAGTCGAGTTAAGAGAGAAACATGACACGCAATTTGCCCTGGAACGGCGCGACTTAGAGAGAAATGATGACGAGGACTTCAGATGAAAAGGAGAAGCACTCGGCGCGGCGATCGGCATGTAACACATATTGGTACCTACAAGACTGCACGAATACTTCACGCATTGCATCAAACACAGTGCGGTCATTGCGGTCAGCGTGAATAACGGATAGCGCCTACAAAAATGCATGAATACTTTACGCATTGCGCCAAACAAAGTGCGGTCAGCGTGAGACGCATAGCGCCTACAAGACTGCGTGAATACTTCACACATTGCGTCCAAAACAGTGCGTTCAGTAGCGATCGGCGCGGCGTGAAAGGCATAGCGCCTACAAGACTGTCGAAATACTTCACGCATCGCGCCAAACACGGTGCGGTCTGCGCGGCGCTTCGGCGGAAGTTAAAATCATTAAACCACATTTATGTTTGTTCTTTCATAATTTTTCCGTGCATTTCTTATGAATGGAAGGCGTTGTCCACACAGAGATAGGTTTACAAAACTTAACTTTCGCGCAAAGTTCCGTGAGCTTTTGCTAGTATGTTGGTTAAAAAAAAAGCAACCTCTGTTAAAATGTTAAATTTTCATAGAAGATTATTATGTTCCTAAGAGAGACATTTTTTTTTTTTTTTTTTTTTTTTTTTTTTTTTTTTTTTAATATAAAAAAGAATGGAATCTGCTAACCCGCGCCTAGATTTACGAGAAGGGTTTTCTTTAAATCCGGCGCGCGCAGGGAGGAGTGTGAGAGACTATAGTTGGACTACATTTTGCAATGTTCAGAACTATACAATTTCCAGTCCACCTATAAAAGCACTCATGTGCATAGGGATACTAATGTATACGTCGTTTCTAAACTGAGCCAGAAGCCAGAGATATTTATTGCGGTTCCAAATTGCAAAATGTAGTCCAATCAGTCATAGACGAACGGTCGGAGGAGTGAGGGGGGTTGGAACCTCTAAACATTAATGACTTTCAACACCAAGGTGATTTCATACACACAGAAGTATATCCTGCCGTGCTAAGGAAGAATCTTGTAAGAATCCTTCGGACGTTCTAAATTTCCATGCTATAAAAACTCCAGAAAACTTGAGAATATTTTTCTTCTTTTTTTTCTAGACTATTGTCCTTAATTATTATCGAAAGTCTTAAGTATCTGGAAATCTCAAGAAAAATATATTTTTAACTTTTCCTTGCATAAACATATTTTACTGATGAAAATT